AACCCTAAACCCTAAACCGTAGCGTTACCTGAGGAGAATCCACCAGACTCTATCTCGAGGCCTTGGGTTTTGCAGCCCTCATGAGAAAAGTCGTGAGGATTTTGGGGTTTGAGGGGTTTTGGGGTTTAAGGTTTAAAGGGCTTAGGGGTTTAGGGTTTAGGGCTTAGGGTTTGGGGGTTTAGGGCTTAGGGGGGTGTTGGGGCTTTAGGGTCTAGGGTAGTTTAGGGTCACAAAATCTGCGAGTTTCCTCTCAGGATGCCAGGGCTGAGACGACAGGGCTACTTAAAGGATCATGGGACTCAGTAAGTAGGGTTATAATTAGGGTAACTATACTTATAACCCCAATTAAGGGACTTATAACCCTACTTACTAAGTCCCATGATCCTTTAAGTACAGAAGTCAGTAGCATCCTGTCACGGAGTTTTATGGTAACTGTAGGTCTTGAGTCCTAAACTGAGAGCAGTTCTGGGTTTCTGAACCATCAAGTCTAGACCCTATAAGCCCTATACCTCAAACCTTTTTGAGGGTGCCAATCCCCAAACCCCTACGCCCGAAGTCGGGATGGGAGGCGGAGGTTTCAAACCGGACTCTTGCGCTCCGAGTTTTGCTTCTCCCAGAGAGGCAGTTTGAACCCTTGGGTCGAAATCACCAACTGCCCGTAAGTGACCTACTAAATGATTAACCGAACAGGCAACTGATTCATGAATCCATTAGAGGGTTTCGTAAAGATCCATTACAGGATTTCGTAAAGATTTCGAAGAACTGATGATGATGTTTAGAAACACCTAGAGCGCAGCAAAGTGAGCAAAGTTAAAGTGAGGTAAAGTCAGGCAAAGGAAAATCGGCGAGGCAAGGTAAGGAAACGCAAACCATTACGTAGGTGGGCAAGCAAGTAAGTGCACTGCAAGTACGTATGTAAGTAGGCAAGCCCATAGGTATGTATACATATGTGCATGCATTAAGCACCTACAGGTGGAACATACAATCCCACGCGCTCACTACATGTATTCAAACTTATGTGACTATTTGTTTGTCTATACCTGTTTATTTGTGGAGGCTTGTTCGTTTGCCAGCACATTCTGTAGGCATGCATGTTGATGAGCATGTCAGACATGTAGGACCATAGGAGTGGTGTGATAATTTCGCCCCCTTGGCGTGCGATGTCCTCAAAGGACGTCCTCACGCATGTGCAGCCGGGAGTGAGGCCAAGAGACCCCCAAAATGCGTAAACTTGCGGAGATCCGTCCTACAACTTCCCTTTCATTCAATAATTAGGAAAGTTAGCCAGGTACCTACTGTATAGGGTTTAGGGGCTCTAGTACCCTATATAGTAGGTACCTGACGGGTTAGGGTTTGGCTTGTGCCCCCACTCATAACCTGCCCAGGCCCACGACCCTGGAAAGCTACGCAGACCCCCAGACCCCGAGCCGAAAGTGCCGGAAAGCCCAAGCCCTTGAACCCTGCGAATCCGAAAGCGAAAACGTGGTAAGGAAACCTTCAGTAATTAAGGAATCTCGGTATTCCTGGGCTCAGCTCAGAAATTACCTTAAAGAGGCCGACGCCATGACGCGTTGGGAGCGAAAAAGAAGAGGGTTTGCAGTTTCGGCTCTCGGTCCTATATGGTTTTGCATGATTCATCGTCCCGATTGATGGAACTTTCACGGGAGTGTAGGGGTCCATGGGTGAATACTTAGTATATGCATTTTTTGTCGTTGGTTTCGTGGGATTACAGGTTGTGAAGACTGTAAAGCAGCCCTGGCCATCAATGGCGACGAGCAGACGAGCAGCGTGGAGGTCACTTCGCAAGACCTGTGAGCACGCTATAAACAAACATATGATCACATACCCTCGAAAACGTGTCCCGGGCCTTTTGTTGTGAGGAGCGCAGAGGACGATTGAGCAGCCCAAGCTCTACCGTAGGGCCCGGTTCACTGGAAAAGGTGCAAAGTGTGCAGGGTTTAGGCTTACGGTGACTTGAAGTTGAAGCTGCATGCCAGCAGCCCCACAATGCAGGCGCGATGAAGTTTGGAAATGGTATGCATCAAAGTTGTGTGCTACTGCTACAGCTCTACTTTAAGGCTTACCATGGAATCCTCACCGTAAGTCCTAAGCTAAACCCGACCCAGATCCGAGCAGTCTATCTCCAGCTACAGCACCCATGAACTACACTTTTGATGAGTACCTAGAGTCTCCATTGTAGTTCCTTTTTTGGTTTAACCAATTATATATTAAGGATTCTATGAGGTATCCCCAAAAAGGAACTACAATGGAACTACAATGGAGACTATAGGTAGGAGTCATAATTACGCGCGCCACCACAGCTGCAGCTCATGCGAGGAATGCAGGGGGCACCAAACTGGTGGAGTGGAGAATCCACGAGAAGCAACACAGCGAGACCGAATTACCCCGCGATCCTACACCCAAACCCTTACATGAAGCAGTACAGCCTTACCTATACTCTCCATTGTGGTTCCTTTTTTGGTTTAGCCAATTCTATATTCAGGATCCTATAAGGTAACCCAAAACGGGAACTACAATGGAGACTAGGTAATCCCTAAACCCTGTAAAACCTAAAGCCCCGAACCCTGCGCAGACGGACGTGATCACCCGGCTCACGGATGAGAAGGCACCTGAAGCGCCAGGTTTGCTCAGTAAGGGGGCTTTCTTAGGGCTTAGGGGGTTTAACGGTTTTGGGGTTTTTATCACTCCGTAAATGAAGTAGGAACCCTGAGGGATGTCACTGTAGTTTTGATTGTTTAGAGGACGTATGGTATTGAAGCTTCCTGAGTTTCAGACATAACCTAAGGCATCTCAATGTAGATCCTGAGCTGAATGATCCCAACCATGAGACCCCCGTAGACAGGGCACCCAGCGGTCTAAGACCCCTCACACTGGACACAATGCAATACATCCAAACCTACGACTCAAAAGCCGAACTAAAGCCCCAAAACCTTGAACACAAGTAAAATCTGGAAGCCTTCAGCCCGACTAGCAAAAGGCCTAGCCTGGACTGTCCGAGTTGAGCCGAAACCCTAAAGGCCTATGAATCCCTTCTAGGAATATAAGGGCCTAAATAATTACCTATACTGTCTTGGGGTTCCTTAGTAGAACTATAGTATAATGGGCCCCAAAACCCTCTTGTGATTATTAAGGCCCCTATATTACTAGAAGGGATTCATAGACTATAGTCTACAGTTATAATAAGGAACCCCCCAAAAAACCTGATTCCAATTATTACGGCCCCTTCTACTACGCTTGTACGGTTGATGGACAATATCCTGCATGACCTTATATACCTAAACTATGGGATTTGTGGTATACTATACTATATTTGGGTCATGCAGAATTTTGTCCATCAACAGTATTGCCTTTCCCTGGCCAGGCCCTGATTGAGGAGCAGCTGCAGCAGGAGACCGGGCTCATTGTGTTAGGGTTTAGGGTTTAGGGGTTAGGGGTTTAGGTTTTAGGAACTTAACTTTGGACAGTACCTATAGTCTCCATTGCAGTTCCTGTTTGGGGTTACCGTATAGGATGCGCAAGGTTTGGGGCTTTAGGTTTTATAGGGTTTAGGGATTACCTATAGTCTCCATTGCAGTTCCTTGTTGGGGTTACTGTATAGGATCCTAAATATAGAACTGGTTAACCTAAGAAAAGGAACTACAATGGAGACTTGGGGTAGAATCCGGATGATTTGGGTATGGTTTTCGGGGGGTTAAAACGGTAGAGAGATCTTGGTAACAAAACCTTGCAAGCCCCCTGCATGCAGTAAGTAATTGCAACTGAGTTCCCAGCGAGTTCCTTTATCTCCATGTTTTAGCTTACCTCAGTTCCTTGAAATCCCTAATCCGGTTAGAAACTTCTGCTGCGTTCCTTGAAGAGTTGCTTGAACTGCCTTGTAAGTTTGGTCTCCTTATATAGCAGGTTCCTTAACAAGAAACTTTTTACATGAACGAACCCTAGCAACTCATGTTAGGCCTTTCCAAGGCATCTTAAACAATCCGAAAGCCAGGAGAAGCTCCAGCGGGAGGAGCTTTGCCGGCAGCTGCAGGCACAGCCTCATGCTCTCAGCGGATTGAGGTTATGAAATGAAAAGCGACTTCACGGCTTACGCCGTATCAGTTGGGGTCAAGAGGTTTAGGGTTTAGGGTTTAGGGAGGGTTCTACCGGGGTTTCATTACAAGTGAGTTCGGGGGCTAGGGGCTCTAAGATTCTAGAGGGGTTCTCTGCCATGGGGGTTCGACGCGGGGTTCCTAAGGTTCTATAAGGAATGTTCTGGGGTTCTAGAAGATGTTACGGGTTTAAGTCTAAGCGCTGTAGGGCTTTGTTCAGGTCTTGAGTAGGGGCTTCCTAGATTTCTGCAGGCTCCTTTTCTAGGGTTCTTTGTTTATGATTCTTGCAGTGCACGAGTCATTGACAAGATAAGTCATTCAGGGTCCAGGTATATTTACGGTACAATGCACCCCAAAAACCTATTCGAATCACTAAGGCCCTCATGTTAGCTCCCACATGCTCTATACCTTAGAGCCCCAAACCCTACACTGGGAACCACCACTCTAGAAGGGCGAGCCTTCAACGCCAAAACAGTGCAACGGGGGCGGCTGCAGAAAGGGTCTTCATGCTTAGGCTAGGGCCTTAGGGTGGCTCAGGGCTTATAGGGTTTAGGGTGGAGTAGTGAAGGATATAATCAGGAGTTCAGGCGAGCGTTCCGGGCATTTTTCTAAACACACCAGAAGTGCGTTGTACATGCACTCTTATTGTTTGCGCCCTAAACCCCAAACCCTACAGGAAAAGGCCTAAGCCCTAGACGCACGCCCGACACGTTCAACAGTTTAGGACCACATGGGTAGTTCTCTAAATTAGGGTCCTTTTTTAGGTCCCCAATATAGTATGGCACCCTTATAACATGGACCCTAAAAGGGACCCTAATTTAGAGAACTACCCACATGGGGGTTTCCGAAATTAGGGGACCCTAAGATAGTAGTCTAAATAATAGGATCCTTATAATAAGGGCCCCAAAGTAAGGGACCCTAATTTAGAGAACTACCCACATTTTTTCAGCCAGCAGAGGCACTGGAAGCGAAGCAGCGGGCTGCCGATCGTGCCTTCGAGGCTGGCACCGGTACTTCTACGTTTTCAGGCAAAGAGGCCCCCGTATCTTCAAGCCTTTGAAGAGGGTTCCTTTAAAGGGTTCCTTTAAAGGGGTTCTATAGGGGATCAATACAGGGTTCTGTAATATAGGAGCCTTAGATAATTAGAAACGGTTTTTTGTTTGGGGGGGGCCCCAAACTAGATCAAAATAGTTAGGTAAGTGTTAAAGCCCCTATACTATCTCAAAAGAAGCGGGCCGCCCACCTTATTGATACGCTTGCCGAGGATTGCCGCTATGAAAGCATCCGAACTATAGACTAGCGAGTTCGCTGTTCTTCAATGGGTCTGAGATTGATGGTGCTGAAGCCAGCTTCCTTTTCAGGGTTTCCACGCTGCCAAGTGTCAACGTTCAAGATTCCAGATCGTTTCAGCCGGTCTGGCGGGTTCTCGAGAAGCACCGTGCACATGTCTTGCAGGAGAAGAAGGAGATTGAAGAAAAGCTGAGGACTCTGCAGAATTGTCGAAGGTTGTGGTTGTACTTATACCCGAAACCGTGACCCCAAACTCTAAATCCAAAACCCTATGGTTTGGGCTGGCTCGGCAACCCAAACGATTGAACTCTTTTTGAATATTATTCTGGAAGACTGAATAATTGCCCGTATGATTCCTCAATGTTCCTTAGTTAGAGTATAGTATAATACACCCAAAGACCCGATCCTACTTGCTCCGACCCATCTATACGACCACAACCTACTTGCTAGACGAGGCTCGACACCCCAGAATCAAACGCCGTAGCAGGATCGAGAAGCAGAAAGAGCACGAGCTGCAACACACGGCCTTCTGTTAGCACTGGCCATGACTCCGGGGCTGGCTACTAGTAGCTTCATTGCTTCTTTTGGTGTGAATACAAGATTGGGTTTTACAGCACATCGATACTTTTTTGGTGTCACGAATTATTACTGCCGCCGATGGCGAGATCTGGCTCTGGTCGCAGAGGTGAATTCATGTAAGTCGTCTTCTTGTTGGAATGTGCAGGCGATGACTAGTCGCGCACCGTGTGGGTGGTGTCTTTCGCAGGTACATAAGCAAGGCCTCCAAATCACATCCACACGGCCTTGGGTGGGTTTCCTCCGCTGCGGTGTGCTTAACCCCCCGAGCTGTAAACATGGTTTCTGCAGTACTGTAGATAGCTCTCATTGTGCGGAGTTCTGCCCCAATCTCTAGACGTGCCCGAAGTCTGCCTGTGATTTACTTAGCTAGGAATCGAAGATTACTTCTAGTCGTGCAGAGATTGCAACATCGGAGATCAAGCTCAGAAGTGGGGGCAGTCCGCGCCAGTTTCTGTGCGAAACAAGCATTGTTCTGCTCAGGAAGTCTCAGCAGCCACAGACAGATTTAAACATGCAAGGCCCGCCAGAACTCCTCAACCAAAACCGAGCGCAAGCCGGCCACGCCCATCCAACCCTATAGTCCTCGCCCCATCACGCAAGACGTAAGCCTGCAGAACAAGTAAACTGCAAGTCCTTGGGTGCTGGCAGGGCCTTTCCGGGAACGATATTTGACATGAGTCTGGAATGGCTTTCAGTAAACCTCCCTGCAGCCACAGATGCTGTAAATTTTAAAAAGCTTCGAACCCTCATGCTAAAGCCACTTCAACATGCCCCTAAAGCCCAAGCCCCACATGTGCCGTAATATAGGGGCCTAAAGAATTACCAAGATATGCTATTTTTTTGGTGGGGGGGATTCCTTGTTATAGTTATAGTAGAGTATACCTCAAACTCCTATTCTATTCATTAAGGGTTCCTTCGTATAGTTATGGCAGAATCTACCCCCAAAACCCTACTCTTTTTCATTAAAGGCCCCACATTTTCCTTCGTAAAGTTATGGCAGACTCTACCCCCAAACCCTACTCTTTCTCATCAAGGCCCCTACACTCCCCACTCTTTCTCATCAAGGCCCCTACATTCCCTACTCTTTCTCATTAAGGCCCCTACATTCCCTACTCTTTCTCATTAAGGCCCCTACATTCCCTACTCTTTCTCATTAAGGCCCCTACATTGCGCATGAACTTCAAGAGCCCCCTGAGGCCGAAAAGGAGCGACTGCGTAAGGAGCAGGCGGACTTGCAGAAGGAGCTTAGCACAGGGGCCTTATCATGATTAGAGTTTAGGGTTTAGGGTTCAGGGTTTAGTGTAAAAAGGCTTTATAATGATCAGAAGAGTGGTGTTTAGGGTTTAGGAGGGTTTAGGCAGTGGGGTTTGGGGGCCTTGCCTATAGTCTCTATTGTAGTTGCTTTTTGGGGTTACGTTTTAGGATCCTTAATATCAAATTGGCTAAACCAAAAACGGAACCGCAATGGAGACCATAGGTATAGTGATCAGAAGAGGATGTCATGAAGGGTTCCAGACGTTTTTTTGTTGGTAAGGTTCTTCGGGGGGTCTTAAGGGTTCATTGAGGGCCTTAAATCTTAAAAAATTGACGAGGGGTTTTGAGGGTGGTTATTTAGAGGGCCTTACATTATTGAATAATTGGACGAGGTTTACAGTGAGAACTGGGATCATCTCAAGGTTCTACAGGGTTAGAGGATGTTTTAAATCTAGGGAGGCCTTTTTGGAACATAGATTTCATATGTTTTTCCTTTTTGGGGGGGGCTGAGAGGATCTTCTTTATCTTTGAATCTGTTTCAAGGGCTGGAAAGGAGCAAGCTAGTAGTGGATCTTGTATGAAGGAGCTGACGGCTGTGGGTTTGGGGTTTGAGGTTCAGGGTGATTGGCAGAGTCTGGCCTCGAAAGGCAGGGCTTAGTGGATCAGCTTTAGAGTTGCGGGGGTCTTGAAGCCACAACGGGTCATACCGTTTCAGAAGTCATAACGCTTTGGGCATGTGCAGAAGTTAGGGTTTGTAGCGGCGTTGAAACGCGTGGAGGGCTGTGAAGGTACAGCTTTTCATCATGTCCTCAGGCGATCAACATTGGACCGTTTAGTTTTGTGAGTCTGGTCCACCTGATAGCTAAGCCTCTAAGCCCTACAAGAATTGAAAAGAAGCTCTTTCGGAGTGTGCTAGCCTTTTGCTGGCGATTCCGCAGCCCGGCCGGCCACCAACCAGGAAGAGCTTGTCTTTCCTAACCCCAGCCCCTTTACCAGGAGTAAAGCTTGGTTCTGGTAAGCTTCAGCCAGGAAAAGAAGAGCGGTGTAGTTCATGCTCCGAAAATGCGAGGTGCCGCAAGAAATTGAGAGACAACCGACCGGCTCCAGTCCACACATGTCTACCCGGCTGGGGTCCGCTCAGCTTCAGCGCAGCTTTCGCCCAGACCTTAAAACATTTTCAAACCCCGACACTCTGAAAGCTAATCCCTCTATAGAACCTAGACACTCTACCCTAAACCCTATAAGCCGCTAAATTCTAAACCCTATATGGCCCAATTGGCATGCATCCTTTGGGGTAGGTCGGGGTCTGAGGGTTCCAGGATGTGGTTCAGGCGGGCTGTTCATGGCGTTGGTGTTCACCTTTTGGGCTAGCCCCCAGGTGCTAAACTTTTGTTTAGCTCACCTGTTTTCGCCAAACCCCGACACCCGTAAACTCCAGACACAGAAATGGTTTAGCTCCGCAAGACAACGGCACTCTTTTGGTCATGAGAACCCGCAAGAAAGCCTTACAAGACCGCCTTACAAGACCGCTAGAGCTGTTATAAAACTCTTAAGCTTAGTACGAATCCCTCAAAACCACGCCGATTGAGAGAAACCTTTTGCAATAATGCCAAGATGAATGAGTGAGTGCGTGAGTGTCAGTGTGTATGTGTCTCTATGTGTGTGTGTGTCTCTCTCTTTGTTTGTCTGTGAATGTGTGTGTGTGTGTGTGCGTGTGTGTGTGTGTGTGCGCGCTTTTTCAGGCTCTCCGCTACTAGTGCTGACCTTATATTCGCTCCTTTCCCCAGCGCTGGTTCTGTTTGAAGATTGGTAATAAAGGGGCCTAAATAATTACCTATAGTATTTTTCGGGTTCCTTCTTATAATAGTAGTATAATGGGCCCCAAAACCCTATCCTAATTATTAAGGCCCCTACATTCGTCTCGTGCCAAAGAAGCTCGTTTGGCCTGGCTGACGGAGTGCCCGGCGAGAGCGAAACTTGTTTAGGGTTTTAGGGTTTAGGGTTTTAGGGTTTGAGGGTTTTAGGGTTCAGGGTTTTAGGGTTTAGGGTTTTAGGGTTTAGGGCTTTAGGGTTTTAGGGTTTAGGGTTTAGAGTGTGTGGTGCTTCCGACGCAGCTAAACTGCAAACCATAAGCCCTAAACCCTTATGACTCCCTAAACCCTCAACTACACAGAAATAAGCTCTTCAGCCCTAAACCCCAAACCCTAAGCCACAAACCAACAAGCTCTTAAGCCCTAAATCCTACCCGCTAAGTCCGTTGCCTGCCTTTTTCCGGGTTGCTGGAAAAAACCAGGTTTTTCTTCAAGAAAGCTGGTTTTTCCAACAAGGGCATCCTGTTACGGGAAAATACGGGTAAATTACGGGAAAATACTGGTAAATTTCGGATATAATGCGGGTTAAAAAATGAAGAACCCGGTTATGTTGAAATTACCAGGTTTTCTTAGACAAAACTCCGAAAAACTTGGTTTTTTGTTTCCAACCCAGAAAAAAGTAGGCAAAAGACTTTCCAGGTAAACCCTATACCCCAACAAGCGCTTTAAGCCCTAACTCCTATTTAAACCCAAAACCCCAAACCCCAATAAGCACAAATCGAGAAATAGTGTACCAAAAGCCCCAATAAGCTCTTAAGCCCTAAATCTCGAAAGCGAAGGAGACGTTGTTGGCCAAAGAGTCAGCTGCAGACCTCCAGAAGCGCCTTTCAGTGCTGGAGCAACAGGAGGGTAGGTTTATTGGGTTTAGGGGTTCAAGGGTTTAGGGTATAAGGGTTTAGGGTCTAGGGTTTAGGGTTCCGTTTTGGATGTTTTTTTGCTTTGTAATTTATAAGGTTGCAGTAAGAATGTTGATTGAAGGTGTGGTGTCGTTGTCTGTGTTTTGGGGTTTGGGCTTGGGGTGCTTGGCAGGTGATTTGACGGGACCCAGGCTGACTGCCACCAGAAAGCAAACGTCAAGAACACATGCAAGATAAGCTCCTGCCACTGATGGCAAGCTTTGGTTTGTCGCTGGCGATGTGCTGGCTCTTGGAGCGTAGACGGGTGTTTGGAGCGCTAATGGCGTTTCCCAGTGCCTCCATGGTCCCCCCATCCCCAGATCCCCAAGCCGTAAATGGCAAAAACCCAAACCCGTCAGGCCCTCAGCCACCTTCTTTGAACCTGTTGTAAAGCCATCATAAGACCTGTATAAGGCCAGTCTAGAACCCTGATACAGCCCTCTTTCTTCGCCCGCAATGCCCCGGCCAGAAAACGCTTCAGGAGCAGCAACAGCGAGCGGAAGCTCGAAAGGCTGCGGTTTTGGGGGGATTAGGGTTTAGGGTAGTAAATCTACATGTTAGGAACAATGCAAAAAGTGCCTTCAGCAAAAAAACTGCATGTAATGGGCCCTCACAACGTTCTACACGTTGAGCGCTGGGCCCGCCCGATCGCAATGCAAGTGTACTCAATGATGTCTTGCCCAGGGCGCCCTCCCAAGATATAGTCATTGCATAAGCACTCGTGGCCGGAGCAAGCAATTTAATAATATCGGGAGCCGAGGCAAAGTCATGCCGGAGCAACTTTACAGGAATGGGCAATTCGTCCCAAAGGCGATCTTTGCATTCCTCTGTCACGCTCTCTGTCTGTAGTGTCAGACTGAGCTGTTCAGGGCGACCGTTGGAAGCTCAGTTGGCGCAAACCCCGCACCCATAGGACTCTGAACACAAAGCCTCAGGTTAGCATCAGGTTAGATGTCGATGGCACTGATGATGTCCACGGCGACCACAGTAATCCCTTAAAGGGCGGCCACCCCCAAATGAAACTCGAAAAATGTGTTCATTATCCCAAAGGGTCCAAGTTATAGTATGGTATATACTTTGGGGGCCCAGATACCTACAAAGTAGCTACCATATTAGTACTTGGACCCATTTGGTATGAGGGGCTGTATCTCTGCTGTCACTTTCGGGAGGATCTTACTCGTGCTCTTGCTCTTGCTTCACTAAGGGGTTCAGCTGCTCTCAATCCTGAACCCCACTGATTCAAAAATTCGTCTTAAGGGGCACGGATGATTTCAGGAGGATTGCACGCAAAATTGTGTTGATAATAAGCGGGTAGCGGGTTGAATGGCCTTGGGAAGTGATTCGGTGACCTATCCAAGTCAGGCCTGCAAGTTCAGGAGCCTTGCCCGGATTCCCCAGTAGCATCCTTTTGCCCTTTTTCTTTTGGGGTTCCCTTGACGAAACCAAGTAGTAGGAAAAAGGGTACCCGGTTACCCTTAGGGGCTACTGGGGAATCTGTCAGCAGCTCGTAAACCTGGCCTGCCGCTCGAACGCCCGCCTGCTTGTGCGAAGTATCACCTCCTCGGGGCTTGGGATTTACGGTTTAGGGTCTAGGGTTCAGGGTTTAGCATTTAGGGCTTTGAAATGACAATAATTGCAAGCTTGGGCTCTTGCGGCCATCAAACCTCCCCCGACTGACGATTTAGGGCTTGGGGCTTGCAGAGCGAGCAGACATATGGCAAGATTTGAACTATAATAGCTGCTGGAGGGTTTTACAGTGTCTCTCCGCGTCGTACCGAGCAGAAATCCCCAACCGAACCCCAAACTCCTGATTCGGTTTCCCGACTAGTGACTATAGAGGGTTATTATCATGATAACTGCTGTTATGATCTACCATTATTACTACTAGTATTAGTAGTATGATTGTTATTACCATTATATCACTATCAACATTCATTGTTAATTGGTACAGTTCTGGTCCCTAAACCCTGAACCCTAAACCCTAAACCCTAAACCCTAAACCCCGAGCCCTCTGTGGACAGGAGCAGGAGCTCAGATGTCGCCTGGAGGAGGAGAGGAAGCTCCAGCAGGAGACTGGGGACCCTAAGACTGAGAATGATAGTGGTAATGGTCATACTGATAATGGTAAATGATAATGATAATGGTAATCGTCATACTACTAATAGTAATATAATGGTAATAGTCTTACTAGTAAAAGTGATATAATGGTAATAATCATACTAATCATAGTAATATAGTGGTAAGAGTCATCCAGTAAGAGTATACAACAGCAATTATCATCAGCTGCGTGCGAGAGTCAGAGTCGAGAAACAGGCACCACCGATCCTCAAGCCGAAGTGCCTAAAGCCCAAAGCCTATGCCCGAATCCTACACCTTCGACCAGGCTTTACCGGTTTAGGGTTTAGGGGTTTAAGGAATTTGTCAACATAATCATGGACGACTACGTGGGCCTGAGGCCCAAGCCCTATACCCAAGAGCCCCCACACCCCAGGCCTTTCAACAGAATCATGGACCGCTTACGTGGGCCTGAGGCCCAAGCCCTACACCCTAAACCCTAAACCCTAAACCCTAAACCGGCCAAAAGCCTTCGAGACTGAGAAGGTTCCGTTTGAGGGTTCCGAGGCTGTTCAGGCGCTGAAGGAGGTTAGGGGCTTTGGGCCTCGGGGTTTAGGGTTTAAGGTTTAGGTTTAGGGTTTAGGGTTTAGGGTTTAGGGTTTTGGGTTTAGGGTTTTGGGTTTAGGGAGGGTTCTTTATGGCCCTTGGGGTTTAGAGGTTCGTAGGACTGAATCCTAAACTGGACTCCACCCTAAGCCCAGTGTCAACAGTTAAAAGAGGCTCTATGGGTGTAGCTTTTCTCTGGAGGCTTAGATCGCTCCGCAGCTGCCTAAACCGTCTGAAGAGTCCTCGACCCCAAACATTGGGGCATTGTAGGGTTTGAACGAGGCTTCTACAGGGTCCTTCATTAGGGAATAGACCTTAAGTTATGAGCTAAAGGGAACCTGCCGACACCTCTTTCGTTGTGTAGGAGTTCAGAAAAACAACGGTCCGCAACATAGCCCTCTCGAGGTGGCTCCTCGCTATAAGGATCCCGAAAGGCCCCCAATTACGCAATTACGCATCTGGATACCTTCAAAAACAAGGCATCGCTTTGTCAAGCCGATAGCACCCTATGTAAGTTTCAGATGCCTCCATCGGTTTTCCTAAACCCTAAACCCTTTTCGGGTTGGGAACCGCGGAAGGACCGCGAAGCGGATCTTGTCTCACAGCTGGACGCTTTGAAAGGCCACAGCGGCTGTAGGGTTCAGGGTTTAGGGTTTAGGAATGCTGATGGCAAAGAGCCTGGGTTCAAAAATAGGGTTTAGGATTCCCGGTTTCGGTGTTTTCGGGCCAGGCAGATCATTGTGCTGTGAGGGTTAACGGTTTAGCAGAGTGTTTTGTGGTATCTTATTCAGAAGCTCGGCAGTCCGAACCCAGCAAAAATCCAGACTGTCCCCAAACTCCAAAGCCCAAACCTTTGTGATTACTCCCCATCGCAGGACCTGATGAAGACCATACTGGATACTTCCGCACTCAGCATACATCAAGTAACAGCAAGAAGGGAACCACTTGAGTCACACGGCTTCATAACACGAAAAAGTTAGAACGAAAAGCAGAACATCCCGATACAACTTAGTCAGCGCTTTTCCGTCGGGTTCTGTCGGTTCCTCTGTAGTTTATGCCCCAAAACGACGGGCTGACTGTTCAGGTCCTATATCAAGCCCACCCGGGTTCTCCAAATCCCAAACAAGGCTCCCGGCGAGAGAGCTTTAAGTTTGCTTACACACTTCATGGCCTTTACTTGTGGAAGCTTAGTTCTGGCCGCTAGGCGCTTCTGAAACTAGAATCCGTGAGAGATTCCCTTAAACGCGAAGCCTAAAGACACCCTACAGGCCCTATGAATGCAAACCCATCTGCGTGTTTGACAGGAATTCAAGAAAGCTTCGCGCTGGCCTCGGCATGAGGGAGCCCGAAGGGAACTGATGAAAAAGGAAGGTCACAAATAGCAGGGTTTAGGGTTTAGGGTTTGGGGAGCTTCCGTCAGTTGTCATCAACAGCTTTTCCTGCGCGCTCTTGCCTTAAGACGGGGTGAGGGTTGCATGGCCGCTGGCCGGCACCTCAGTCCGTGCTAAAAAGGGGTCTAGGGTTTAGGGTTTAGGGTTGAGGGTTTAGGGTTGAGGGTTTAGGTTTAGGAGCAAGCTTGGGGGACCTCTATACCCTAAAGGGTTTAGGGTTTGGGGTTCAGGGTCCTTAGATGTAGAGAAAGCGGGTATTGAACCGAGCCACACATGGTGTCTTCAGTGAGGAACGCTTAGGTGCGGACCCTAAGTCATCGGATGCTTATTATAAAGCTTGTATTTAAGGCACCCTGGCCTGTGAAAAACCGGCAAACGAACGAACCACCAACGAAACGCTTCGATTAACCCGACTGGCCTGAGGAAGGAGGGCAAGCAATTGGTTGAGGCACCGGCAAAAGGGCTTAAAGGATTCTAAACCCCCCAACCCTAAACCCTTTAGGGTATGGAGGTCCCCTAAACTTGGTCCCCCTAAACCCTGAACCCCAAACTCTAAGCATTTTAAAATTCAAGGGTCTCGGGTTGCGTTTCGGATCTTTGGCTCGGTTATTGTTTTTGGTGTTTGGGATCAGCGCGGACGGTGCTGGGGTATATTGCTACGATACAGGGATGATCTATGAACAACAACTTGAGTAAGCATTCGGACTCTAACACTCGGGTTATAGCATCAAATCTGTTGTTTTTGGCATGTTGGAAGCGAGCTTGTGTGCCTCGGCCCAACTTCAACGGCTTGAATCACGGCAATGTGAGGGGTTGCGCTACGAGCTGGATCAGAAGCCGCTGCGCACTTGGACGATGCCAGATGCCGATCGGTTTCCAATTCACAAAACTTACTGCCTCCAGTTAGAGGACATGTTTCAGGCTGGTGATCGCCGCAAACTTCACTGGCGCAACTACGTCTTCTCTGATTTGGTAAAGGAGCCTTGCTTTCTGCCGCGGTGACGCTGCCGCCCCTAAACCCTAAACCCTAAACCCTAAACCCTATAATATGAGCCCCTGTGGGAGCGCTTTTGGAAGCGGGGGTACTTCCGGTCACGCCACGGCGCTGGGACCGCGATGCTCCCGAGACCTGGCGAAAGAGACACCGTCATGAGAAAATCAAAGGGTTTAGGGTTTAGGGTTTAGGGTTTAGGGAGCAGTGCCAGAAGAGGGCCGCATCGATCGCCTATGTGGCTGGCAGCGCCAAGCTGCCTCTCATGCCCGCCGGCTGCTGCTTCACCGCGAGAAGTGGGCTCGGCTCAAAGCTGCACACGAGTCAAGTTCCAGCAGCTCCGGCACGAGTTGGAGAAAAACGAAGCGCGCTCCTGAGCTTCGTGCTGTCTAGCAGTCCAGGACCACATCCGCAGGAGCTGTAAGCTTCAACCCTTGGGTCAACCTCCTTCACCGCCCAACCCCAGAGAATTCTGCAACTTCTTCGGCTTGGGGTGAGGCTTGGTGCTTACAGAAGAGTTTAGGCCTTAAGTCTGGTCGTGAAATTTGTAACGCATTCACATTCAGGAGGTGTGTAGGACTTTCAAGAGCTTCCAAGTGGCCTCTAGGTATGTTGTCCCGATCCCCCTTGCGATGTGAGAATATTAGGCCAGCAACCTACACTGACAAGCTTTCCCGTTGGTGCATCTTAGATCTTGGAACTTCCTTACCTAAGCCTCTAGCAAAACCGCTTGCGATGGCAAATGGGTTATGCCTAGAGCCTAGGTACTGAACATATTGTAGTTCATGATCATACAACGTGCATGTATGAAAAACTCGTGTGTGTGTGCGCGCAAGAAACACGCACGGGCGAGCGCAAGGGGTATTAAATGGTCGCTCATCGGAACAATATATTAATCAACCCCCCACATAGTATCGCTTTATAGTCCCTCTATAGCTTCTACAACTATGCCGAAGTATGTAGATTAAGTAAGTCCCTCCAAACCCTAGTCGAAGTCTAAGTGCTGTGGCCGTCTGTTTTCCTTTGTAGTATTAGGGAGACCCCTTAAAGGGCACCCTTCTTAACCCCACTTCTGGCTCTTTGAAAAACGACCTCATTGAGAGGGTCTCTATCCCCAAGGGTCCCCCTAATCCCGATTCCCACATTTGGTTAGTCCAAGCCCTGAACCTCCCCAAGCCCCCCAGAACCCCAACCCCTAAACCCCTCAATCCCAAACCCTAAATCCTAAGCCTTGCAGAGGTCTCTCTGGGATTGAGCTTGAGGTCCTAAACCCTACTTAAAACTACCGGAGCCTGCTTTCCTGCAGGTCCCTGATGTTAAACCCAGTATGGAAATTGTAGGGACCCGACGAAAAAGCAGGTTTCGGTAGGTTTAGGTAAACCCCAAGCGCAGAGGGATCGAAGCCATGCCTGCATTGTGTGAGCGTGTGAAGGTTTAGGGTTGGGGTTAAGAAGCCCTAAACCCTAAACCCTAAACCCTAAACCCTAAACCCTAAACCAAAACCCTAAACCCTAAACCCTAAACCCTAAACCCTATAATCGGCGACTGCCGGAGCTTCAGCTTGTTGCTGAACACGCCCCCCAAAGGCGAAGCGTTAAATTTCCCATACGTCCAACCCAAAACAAAGAACAACAGCTACAGTGTTATGTGGGTAGTTGTCAAAATTGAGGTCCCTTTTGGGGTACCCTAAATAATAGGTGCCGTATTATAATAAGGACCCCAAAAAGCGACCATAATTTTCACAACCACCCATCTACGTAGACAGAGGCCACCCTCCATGGTGTCAGGTTCAGTTTGGATCTGGTGCAGATGGTCCAACACTCAATGTGGCTTGGGCCTATATGGGAATTTCCGAAATTAAGGGGTACCTTATCTTGGG